TCCTGTTTCAGCTTCCCCAGCACTGTGATTACAGGTGTGCACCACTATGCCTAGTCTTGGCGGCCGGCTCAGTGTGCCAGGGTTGGGGCTGGGCCAGCACGGTATGTGGTACATGGTATAGAGGATCGTACCCAGGTCTTTGTGTTTGCCTAGGCATGTGTTTAGACCACTGAGCTATCTCCGTGGCCCTACAAGACACTCTATTAAAGGGGTTTCTGTTTCTAAATTTTGGTTTAACCCCTTCTTTAATACAAACTAATTCATTATGTATTTTATTCAAAGAACATTTAAAAGGACACTTTGAAGACCTATTTCCTGGGCTGGCGAGATGGCTCAGTGGTCTAAAGCACCTACATGGAACAAGCTTGGCAAAGCACAGGGACCACCGTTCGATCCCCCAGCACCACATGCCAGCGAGCCCCGCCCCCTGGTGGGCTGAACTGGACACACACACACACACACACACACAATAAATAAATAAATAAATGTTTAAAAAAAAAAAAAAAGACCTATTTCCTTCTCTGCCATATGCTGATAAGAATGAAGAGTGTTCAGCAGTGACTCCAGGGTGTGAGGCATGAGCCGCTACTAAAATCAACATCTTACCTATCAGTAATAAATTAAGTCCCCGGCAGTGTCAGACTTATTACTCCCTAATTGGAAGAAGCTGGAGACCTTCAAAACTTTTTGTTGCTGAAAAATTATCCCCCTCAACTGACAAACTAAGAATATATATTAGGCATGGAAACAAATCTGTGTCCAGCTCTGAAGATCTCTATTCTACAGCTTGTTTTATGTTTCTGAAATATTGTGATGTTGGTGATTTATGTCATGTCCATGTGGCCGGCCATTTGTTTATTCTATTGCATACCATCTGTTTTTCAGTAGAGAGGTTTCAAGTTTTTCTCATTCCCTACCTCCTATCCCATAGAAAACAATTTATAAAAGACAGATTTAAATCACTTGGACTCACGTGGAGCTGGAAACTTGAGCTTCTCTTCCTTTATATCTGGCAAATACTTTAATGGGATTAGCAAATTGTGTTATTATGAAGTACTTATGGAAAGACACCTTTTTTTTTTTTTACAATGACAAATGATGTTAACAGTTTCATCTGGGGTGTTTAATAGCCGTACAGAAGAGTTCCCTAAGATGACAGGAAATTGCTGTGATAGACAATAAAGTCCTACCACAAGCCCTGTTCAAAGCTTTTATTTCTGAAAGTCATTGGCTGTGTGTTGTAAAGCCTACGATGGGGAATAAATATCAAGTTGCTTCACTAGCAAGGGGACATTATCATGCAGCCTACAGGCTGGAATACTCTGGGTCTGGCCTCTTGGCTGTGTTCTCTAAGCTCATGTTGGTTGGCAAACCTTTCTAAGCTTCAATGATAACAAACAGCTGGCTGTGGTACGTGAGCCAGGAGTTCACCAGCACTGCCCTAAGTCCTACAAACAGGGCTCGATCCTGTCAAGAGAAGGCGAGCCTCCGACTTCTGCCCCTGAAGAGTTTACGTCACAAATTCCAGCTCACGGTACCAATTTATTCCCAAGCGAGGGCCACTTTGATTTGTTCTACAGAGAAGCCAAACATTCAGTCAAACATCTTGCTAGGACACTACAGGAGATGCGTAAAATATTAATTACCGTTTTGATAAGAATCTTTGTTGCTGTCCGGGAGAGGAGGTATCTGGTGGCAGGGTCCAGTGGCTGTCCACAGTTCATGGTTGACATCTGGGGGCTGAGAATTATCTGTCTGGAGGTCTGCTTGATTTTCACTAGTCCTTACCAAGTCAGAGTTAGGGACATGTGTGGAGTGAGTGACATCCTGGGGGGCACCAGATGGATTCGGCTGACTGATAGCATTGAGTGACATTTGTACTAAAGCTTCATTGACGAAAAATGAATTCTCATGACATAAACTTTCAGATCGATTAAGTTCCGTGACCTGGATAAAGAAATACAGAAAGAGTACAATAATTTCTCCAGCAACACATGCAACTTTCATAAAGTATTTATTTCTAATAGAATCTAACAATTCAGATTTCATGAAGAGCAAGGTCAAGAAAAATTTACCACCTACTATCCCTCCCCACCTCCTTTAAAAGAATTAGAACCAAACATTTCAAGTCACTATGCACTAAACCTTTCTTAAAAGTAATGTTCTCACCATTAAAGAGTTCCTCCTTAAAGCACAGAAAGTATCATGTCTTTTGCTAAATTAAAAAAGTTGAAAATATATCCATATAAAAATGAGGAATTTATACTAAATGCATTTAGTGAACTTAAAAAGGCAACAGTGCAGCACAGTTCTTACTAAGCCTATTAATTTTTATAACTTTACGCACTACCAATAAAAGCAAACACACAATGCACATAGTGCAGGAAAATCAACGCGTGGAGCAAATGGAGTGGGTTGTATGGTTCGGGAGGATGCAAAGGGAACACAGAATTCTCTGGAAGCTCTTATCCTATCTGGCCACTAATGAGCACACCGCATAAGCAGAACTGGTGAATGGATTGTGAATTTACTATGTCCAGTTCACAAAGAGAACCACCCTGCTGTGGAAGAGAGTGTTACTTGGGCTGCGTCAGGATGTACAGCGTGCAGTAACAGCTGACTCAGCCACGAGAAAGCCCACACACCACTGAATAAGGGAGAGTGCTCCTTGTCAGTAAGAACAGAACCTCTACAGCCGGTCCTTAAAATATCGGAGACAGGCCTGCTCATGACCCCTGCGGCTCCAGGACCAGCCACCTGTTCTTCCCACACAGCTCTGTCCTCTGCTCCTCTTCAGGTTAAGGTGTCTCAGGCTACAATGGCCCACGAGGACCCCAGCTCTTATATTTTCCATATTTCAGGCCAAGATGCTTGGGCATCATTTCTGAAAGTTTCTGGCTCTGTCTCAGATTGAGACCGCCTCAGGTGCCCCTACTGAGAATGGGCCTGCGAGCCTCAGGCCGGCAGAGCGTCCTGTGCGACGCGGGGGCAAAGCCTACGCACCTCCGGGCTCCCAGAAGGGCAGGGGGCGAAGGTTGCTGGAAGGCTCCGCTGCCGACTGTGCTTCCAGGGGCCCAGCAGGCCCTGCTGCGCGCGCATCCTCTCCTTCTCCTGCTCCACCAGGCGCTGGCCCTCCCTCAGCCGCTCCAGGTTCTGCTGGTATTCCTGCAGCTGGTGTTCCAGCTCTCCGCGGTTCCGCAGCAGCAGCTCCTCCTGCGACTGGCACTCGCGCTCCCGCGCCTGCAGCCAGCTCTCCTTGGCCTCCTGTTCCCGCTGCTGCTGGGCGCAGGTGCGCAGCCAGCGCCTCTGCTCCTGCTGCAGCTGGTGCTGGAGCTTGTGCACGTCGGCCAACTCCTCACGCTGCTTCTCCAAGTGCTGGGACCTCTCCTGGTCCTGGAAGGGGCTGCCCAGGAAAGAGTGGCCAAGGGCCAGGCTCTCCTGCTGCCGGAGGACCAGCTTGTGGATCTCCATGTGGCTGTCCTGAATGGTCAAGGCGGCCTGCGGGCAGAGGAGGAGGACTGAATGAGACCAGGCATCCTACCCTGTGCGCCTTGGAGGGAACTGCTTCTAAACTCAGAATTCACAATACAACAATTTCCTCTTCACACTCTGTCCTTTTCTTAGGACACCTCCAAAGACCGACTTCAGTATTTCAAATAGACTTGTCTGTATTTCCTAGTGGAAGAGCCTAGGAATTTACATAGAGAAAAATTAAAACAGATCAATCCCATTATTCTTGATATTTGAAAGGGAGTGCTTCCAGCTCCTTGTGGATGCCCAAATCCAAGGATGCTATGCTCTTTCTATAACATGGCTGAGTGTTTTCACTATGGTCCACTCGTATATTTTAAGGCATGTCTAGATTACTAGTACTACCCGAGACAGTGCCTACACATTGATTCATTCACAAAGATTCAGTGTAATACCTGGAAAAACAGCAAATCAAGTTTTGGTTTTGGGGGCTTTCTAGATTTTTTCCCTACCCAGGTTTAGCTGAATCAGAGGATATAGTACCCGTGTCTACAGAAGGCTGATTATATTCAGCCTACAGAAGTCTACCGGTTGCTTGCTGTTGATCAATATTTATGTGTTCTGAGTAAGAACTCAGAATAGGGTTGGTGAGGTAACTCAGAAGACTAAAGTGCCTACTTAGGCAAGCACAGGGACAGAGGTTCAATCCCCCGCACCACATGCCATGCTAGCCCCACCCCCAGGGTAGGCTGAGCTGGCCAGAGTCCGGGTATAGTGGGGCACACCTGTAATCTCAATGCTGGGAAGGCTGAAAGCAGGAGGATCACTATGAGTCCAGGCTGCATAGTGAGACCCTGCAACAACCAAATACACACACACAAAAAAAAAAAAAAAAAAAAAAAAAAAAAAAAAAAAAAAAAAAAAACCTCAAAACATAAGATTCACAAGACTCCATATTCTTGCTTGATACCTTAATCTCTTCTTGAAGTCTCCCTAGTCAATAATTCGTGGGAATTTAACAATCTATACAAACCTAAGAATATCTTTATTTCAGACCCAGAAGAGACATTACTAGAGTTACAAATGTTTTTTTCATGAAGACATAAAAATAAGTCAACCATTTGGAGACTTTGGGTAAATGATCTTTTTATACCACAAGGCCGGAGAATAGCAAGTAATGTTATTTTTAAGAGATACACAAGCGGTGAAAGCTTCCTTGCTGTCTTTGCATTTATAGCAGGAAGACCAAGCACTGAGACCTAAGCTAAAGTTCATTTGTTCAGTAGATTGCTAACAGGAGGCTGGGTTGATTAAGGGAAAATAGATATGCTAAATCCCGCAGGACATTATCAAAGAGATTAAAAAACATTTAGAGTTACAGTATCTGCCTATGAAAAGTTTGGCTGCATTGCAGGAAGTAATTGCCAAGGTTTTGGAAAGATGCCACTAAGAAAAAAAAAAAAAAGAAAGAAAAAAAAAAGTCTCCTACAACACCCTGGGAAGCATTTAATTTTTAAAGTTCACGTTTAAAATGCAAAGCTGTAGAGGGGCAAGCCGCAAATGGACACGCAGTGGGTTGTGTATCTTTCCACTTAGAAGCAGGAACTGCTACTCTCCCAGGAATAAATTCAAAGTTTTCCTTGCTAAGAATTTTAAAATTCTGTACATGTAACAGGTTGGGAAGATAAGAATTTGACCACCAATTCTTTGTTAAATCAGCAGTTTAGTGTACTTCTGAAAGTTAAAGACAGTTCAACCTATTTGATTTAGGATAAGGTTGGAAATCGTATTTGCTGGGGTCTTTTGAAATAAAATTTATATTTTTTTTTGAATTTGAAAATTAATTTCAAATGACCAACCTCATCTGAATATCAATGGTTTATAGAAGTTTTTATAGAGAACAGTGATTATTGATATTGTGCTTTCTACACACAAAATAATTAACATATAATAAATACTAATAAGGGCTGGATAGATAGCGCATTGGTCTAAGTGCCTGCCTGGTAAGCGCGAGGACCTGGGTTCGATCCCTGGTTCCACATGCAGCACAAGCCCCAGAACCCTGGGCACACTGTGCTGGCCACCAAAATGGGGTGTGGTAGTGCACACCGGAAATCCCAGCACTGGGGAGGCTGAGACAGGAGGATCACTATGAGTCCAAGCTGCGGAGCAAGACCCTGCACCAAAAAAATAAATAAATAACATTTTTAAAAAATAGTTTTCAAAAAATGCTAGCAAAATAACCATTACAATAAACAATAAACCAGACTACTCAGGACCACTGACCTGGCAAAGCAGACAGCAGGCTGCACACCCTGACTAATTCCAATAAACCCTAAAGGCAACAGTTTAGATAAATTTTTTAAAAATTCACATTTTACATGTCAGGACTACACACACCCGATACACAACAACTGTCTTGTAAAGATTATAATTAGAATCATTAAGCATGGTTATGAAGAACTCTTCATGCCTGCCCAACATCTGGAATAAGGCCATTTTCTTCCATGCAGCAGGGGCAGAATCCAAAGACTGGATGTTCATTTCCCCTCCTGAAGTTGAGGTTTATTTTTCGGATAGAGAAGCACACTGCTGAGTCCTTCCCAATCCACCCCCCTGCACGCTACTTTGCTAGTATGCTTCTGGGTCTTTGCCTTTTTTCCTTGTCTATATTTTTCTCTTGGTCTCTCCTCACACAGGGGTCGAGTTTCATTTTCATCTGATTCCTACAGGCCTATGTGGAAGCTTCGAGCACGCATAGGAGACCCTCCATGCAGAAGAGACAACTTCCGGGAAGAGACGACTTCCGGGAAGAGACGACTTCTGGGAAGAGACGACTTCCGGGAAGAGGCATCTTCCAGAGCCCAAACCCTGAGGCCAGCTCAAGAGCTTGGCTGCGGAATGCATCGCAGACCCATAGTTCCCACCTTAGGCTTCCAACTAACGTGTTGCAAAGATTAGGTCATTCAGGTCACTGGATTTTTGTGAATCTGCAATCCTCACAGAACTGTTGCCTTCGGGATTGAAGAAGGGAGATAATCTTGTGGGTATTTTCATCAGACAACAAAAGCCAGGATGCCAGAGGTTTTCAACCCACAAGAGTTAATGGATTATGCTCCAACTACATGCTTCCTCTCTTGACATTTCAAGGAAAGCATATTTGTCTTACATGATCAATTTATCTTTTAGAATATATACCTCAGACTGCTATATCTGATGTAAGGTATTAAAGGCACTGCCACGACATGGTGATCCACACAAAGGACTTGCCTTCACGAAGCACTGCCAGTTCACACATTTTTAGAAGTTCTTGCTAAATCAATGAAGCAAGTGAGTGAAACTGATACAACTATGGAAGAAGAACCAGACTACCGTTGCTTCCCAGCTTTTATTTCCCAACAGGAATATTCCAAAGAATCAATGAAAAACTACTGCAATACAAAAGTTTAATGAGTTGGGCAGGTTCTTCTATACATTTACAAAAGAAATATATAAAAACTATTACCTTCCTGTATGTCAGCAAAAGCCCAATAATAACTAAGGAAGTTATGCATGTAATTGGACACGTAAGCTGTATGAAGACAACTGTAAATCTTTTGGACAGAAACACTAAAAAGAGGAGACGGCTGATCCATATTCTTGGGTGAGAGACCGGATTATGGCAAGAGCGTCACTGTCTCTAATTTAGTTCATCATTATGATAATAAGTTACATTTTAATGATCTTGGTAAGAGGCAAGAAATATGACAAAGTGATTCCAAAACTCCTGTAAAAGCACGTATAGAAACACAGAAAAATGATAGGTGGCTACACTGTTGTAAAGTCCAGCATCATCCAAAGTTTTAACACTTAGGACAGTGGTCACAAAACAAGAATAGACATATGATAAACAGAACATCGGACAAAGAGCTGTTTTGGTACAGCTGAAGGATAAATAAGAAAATAGAGAATGTGCAACTACATTTCCTGGTGAAAACTTAGACTTCATCTTCTTTTAATATTCAAAAGATAAAATATGAAATATGAATGAATGATAAACAAATAAGAGAAGAATTTAGTCTCACCAGCAATCAAAAAAGTGCAAGTTAAAGTAATTGGGTTGTGCCAATAATTGGTTGTGAAATTGTCTCATTGATATTTGTTTCTCAAAATTATTTTAAAAATAATAAAAAATAAAGTAATTAGGTGTCTTAATCCCTTGTCCAATGAGGAGAGAGAAGGTTGTTTAATTTTATTATTTTTAGTGTCTCATTAGACACCTAAAAAGCCCAATTCTAGTACTTCAGCCTAGGAAACATTTAGATGAAGTTGAAAGAGACATTTAGATATAGTCAAAAGGACTGGTACACAAGACTGCCCACATTTTGTGTTATTGATAATATAAGAATGGGGCTGGCTGGATAGCTCAGCGGATTATAGCACCTGCTTAGGCAGAGCGTCGGGACCGGGGTTCAATCCCTAGCCCGCCGTGCTGACCCTGCTCCCAGGGCTTGCTGAGATGGCAATTGAAACTGGGCATGGTGGCGTGCCCCTGTAATCCCAGCTCTTGGGAGGCTAAAAACAGGAGAATCACTATGAGTCCGATCTGTGTTGTGAGACCCTGTAGAACCTGCACTAAATGCAAATAATAATAATAATGAAGAAGAATGTAAGGAACAAGGAGCTTGACTGGAATACATATTCTCTCAAAATCATGCTTGCACAATGATAGCTGGTGACCAGAAAGGTTACCGAAAGTACCTATGAAACAATTTAACATGAAAAAGGATAGATACCAGCATAACAGGAATTCCTTCTGTGGAATCACAAGACCATTTATTTACTTGTATTCCTAAATTTCCCCACAAATCCTTCCACAATAGAAACATCGCTTTCATCGCATTAAAATAATTTAGTCAGCAAATGAAGCAAATGGGCCCAGGAAGCTTCTTTCTGGAGATTGATCTGAGGGGGCGTGTAGGTCGCTAGCGCCCACTGCAAGCACAATTTCACCTGCTTTCCTTGAGGGATAGAAAGTCCCTTGAGGTCAGCTGTGGGCTTTTAGTCTTTGCAGGCTGGGGGGCCCCAGAAATGTGGGGTGGCAAACACACAGAAGCAGGATGGTGTCAAGTGCTCTCAAGAGGGAAGGCCACTGACCGAAAGGAAAACAGCGTGGGTGTGCATCTGAGTTTTCACTAGAAAACATGAAACTGTGCTACACTTACCTGAGTTTCACTGTGAATATCAAGCCAGAGCCTGACGTTTCCTAGTTTCTAAAGATATAAACCGCTTTATGGTTTCTGAGAAGAAAGGTATACATATGGTGCAACGGCGCTGCTGCTCCACGCTTACAAATCCAGGTGACATTCAACACATCTGGCTGAACTGCCCTTGGGGATCGGCACCACTGAGCTCACTGCCCCCCCCCATGGACTAACTGTCACCATCTGGTGGTTATCCAGGTGAACTGCATGGAGAGAAACACACCAGGCCCAAGAGGGGAGGAGGCTCATTACCTGGAGGCTGTACAAGAGGCGAGTTAGATTCTGTATCGCTTGTATGATCTGAAAAATAAGATGACATGGGTCCGATTTTTAAAAATGTTCTCAAGTTGAGACACAATGGTGATATGATTAAGGCCGGCGTCACTCACCTCTGACTGGGAAGAACCTGGGAAACTTCGACACTCCACCTGCGATACACAAAAGCGTAAGGAAACGAAAGGCCACTCTAGTTTTCAAAAGCTCCCCATATAAGAGCGTCATTCTCTCTAAGCTCAATGACCTCATCTATAGTGACTTGGTCCCCTCCCTGGAAAAGGGGCCTGTAGGATTCAATAACCACTTGACAGGGAGAGCTGCCCTCATGCAAACCTGGGGTTAGCAAAGCAGAGAGGCTTTGGGGAGCCACCTTTTGGCCCAGGAGGGACAGCAGCCAGGAAGCTGGGCTGCTGTCACACTCTAAGTGACGGCGGTCACATGAGCAAGCCACACCATCAACAGTGCTGTCTGGGCCGGGTCGGGGCTGTCTCCCAGGCCAGGCCAACATCTTGTATCCTGGAGTCCAGACCTGGAAGCTAAGGAACATCAAGCCAGGCCTCCAGCTCTTCGTCTCAGTGTTTGTGACTTAAGATGACAAAATAGCCAGCGACTGAGAACGGAAGCCACACCCAGAGATGGCGCAAAGGGGTCACTGAGCCAGTCTCCTCCAAATCCTACCGCATTAGAGTTCGTGGCCCGGTGCCAAGCCCACAGACAGGCCGTGGGGCCCACCTGCTCCGCAGGGTAGGTCTGCGTTCACTGTTCTCTCTCCCCCAAAGCACACACCCAGGGGACATGTGGATTCTGAGGGTTGCCAGTTTTGAGAACTGAATTAAAGGTTTGTTTGGTCCTGTACTGTCTGTCCTCTCACACCTGACGCAGCCAGTGGGCAGCAAGACTTTATGTATTCCATATCGCACCTGCAAAATCAGTGGAAGCCTGGGGTGTTATGGACATGCCACAGGCGAACAAGAGAGTGGATCAGGCAGCATGCCTCCCAGTCAGTGAGCACTGAGGGCCCCCTGCAAATTCCACTCCGTGTGTCATGGGACATCACGCGCCCCCCATCTGTAGCCTCCATTACGCTGCTGGTGTTTGTCTGAGCAGGTCTCATTTAAAGCTCTAAAGCGCAGCCAGTGCGGTAATGTTCTCAGGTAACTTTCGACCTGGGCTACATGCAGCTGGTTGAGGCTGCTAATGAGCTACCTGGCCTTCACTTTCTCCCTTCTTCTGCCACAATTAAAGAGTCCACGCCTTAGAAGTCCACAGGAGAGAGAAGGGACAAAGGCTGGAAGAGGAGATAATGGTTAAAGGCATTAGATCTGTGTCCAATCCGGCAGGAGAATTCAGGGCTAAGAACCCGTCCTATAGCAAGTTTTTAGAGTGCTCAATTTATTTCGGATTCTGTCCTTGCTCATCCATATATGTCTGCATTTGCAGTGAGAACATCTGGTATTAATCTTTATACTCCATAAAAATTAGACATGTAACAATGAGTTGGCTTGTGCTACATGTAGTTACTTGTACCAGGAACCAGTGGGTTTAATACAAGGCAGGATGTACACATTCTTTTTAAATGGAGTTGGTCTGCCACCTGGTGGTCAAAATATGTAACTGCAGCTGGGGATTTACACTGGATTTCTGAGGCTTGGATTACAGATTTTTCTTTAATTCTTTCAGAAATTTGCTTTAGTTTTCTCTTATTAAGGAAGCTAAGGACAAATATAAATAGTATACCTCAGAAGTTTGATTTCAAGTGATCTTTTTCTATGTCTCAGTTTATTCAGTTTTCTCAAATTGTCTTATTAATTAAGAGCCACATTTTCCAGACAGGTTAATTCAAAGAGGAACCTAAACATTTGATCTCAAGTATTCAGCCGCTACTGAATCAGGGAGCGGGGCCACCACAGCCTCCCACCCAAGGAGAAACTGTTACTCAGCAACTCGCTCGGTCTCTTTCCTAAGAATTTCGAAGAAGTTGGAAACTACAGACTTGAGACTTAAAAATGAATTCTGAACTTAAAAAAAAAAAAAAAGCAGCAGGGCCGGGGAGATGACTCAGTAGGATAAGTGCTT